AATAATGAGCAGCAAGTTTATATTCTCAGTGAATCAAGAGAGAAGCTTCGGTAAAATGTGGGTTTATATGCACGGAAATAAATTATTATTTACTCACTTTTGTGCTCATGCCCTCAAATATGGAGACATTTGTAGGGAATTATTAATATTTATAGCATATTATAATAAATACCCACAAGAGCTTTGCCTGAAGACATGCTATTTTACCAGTGTAAAATCTGTTGAAGGTCAAAGGGATCTTTTATTTGTACGTGGAGGGCAGAATCAGCCTCTTTACTTGGAAATCTGTATCAACTGTGATAATTTAAAACTTTAATTAAAGACCCAGTGACAGATTATCTACAAAACGTCTTCCTGCTGCCCAGTATTCCATCAGGAATGTCTCCAGAAGCCCAGGCTGAGTAAGCACACTTGCCAGGAAATATTTCACTGTGGACATGTTAGCTGTTATCTGGCTTGTTGGGTAACAAATTCTTTTGTTGAGGATTGGTGGCAACAAACATTGAATTAAAGGCAAAACCAGACCCCAAATCAGGAATTTATAATACTTATTCTGTTCATCCCTCAAGAAAATGAAAGCACCACAGCAAAGACTATTTTTGCAGCTGTGTTAATGCATGTGTAAATGGGGAAAGTGCCTTTGAAACATTCTGCAGAGCATTTCACACTTTAGAGAGGACAAGAAGCTAACAATTCTATTGTGGCACTTATGAGAATTTTAAAATTAATTTTCCTGACACAGCTGTGCCATAAAAACCCCCCAGGACGATGAGTTTTTGCTAATGTCAAGATTACTTTTGGATACAATTCTGAAGGAGCCCTTTGTAAAATCAGGAGAACTCGGGGTGCCAGGTGCCCTGCACTGCCCTCTCCTCACCTCAGCTCAGCTCCTGCCTTCCCCGGGATTAAACCAGATTAAGAGATGTGAGGGATGATACACTGGGGATCCCCCCCTCCCTGCACCCTGCAGCCTTGCCTGACCACATTCAAGGGGGAGAAGGAAATGGAAACAGCAACCTCCAAGCGATGCATAAGAAAGGTGTTAAAAACACACACATCCCACCAACAATGGGGCTCAGTCCGCAGCACTGGATGGATTTATGGGGAGGGACAAGCAGAGGTTGGGAAATGAAGAGTTCAGGGTCAGGTGAGAAGGCCCAGAGGAGGTATGAGCAACACCACATGGGCATGTCCACAGCCCTGACTACAGGAGGATGGAGAGCTCACTGGGATTTTTGTGTGGAAAGGCTTTGGCACAGGCAGAGTGGATGGATTTCCTTTTTGAACTGCAGGAAAGCCTGGGGGCAGGGGGGACAGCGTGGATGGTGGCAGCCACGGGCTTGATTTTAACAGTGACGGGCAAGTTTTAGATGCTGTAGAGGAGAGAGTTAACAACAGCTGACACACTTTTGTCTGGAGAAGTCACAATGACTAGAAATAACAACTCGGGGCCATAATTCCGCGGTCTGTCACTACCAGGAAACGTGAAATCCAGTGACCTTTCATCTCCACGACAGAAATGCTGCACAGCACCTGGAGCCATTGCCCTTAAAATCCACTCTGACAAATTGGATGATAGGACATGAAGGTGAAAATGTCCTCTCCCTCCCTCATCCCCAAATTTCAGCCTCCTAGTGAACTCCTCCTGCTCCATGTGTATGGTGGAATCCCTTGCCAAGCAAAGCCAGTTTTGCAGGAGCTGCAGTGTTTAGCAAAGCACGAGACAACAACTTCATTTCTTTTGACAATAAGGAATAAAGCCACCTGTTCACACTGCTTCTAAATGATGGCAGGGAAATTGATATTGGCTTTCTATGAATCTTCAGGTCAGGCTTGTTAGAATCAACACATTTTTGCATTATCACAGAATCACTGAACAGTTTGGGTTGGAAGGGACCTTAAGAATCATCTCATTCCACCCCTGCCATGGGCAGCAACACATTCCACTAGGCCAGGTTGCTCCAAGCCTGATCCAAGCAGGCCTTGAACACTTCCAGGGATGGGGTAGCCACAGCTTCTCTGGGCAGCCTGTTCCAGTGCTCACTGCTGCACAGTAATTTTGCCCTTGGCAAGACAGAGTTAAGACAGACATGAATCTGAACGTCTTGAGAGGAAATTATTCTCCTGGTAAGGGCAGCAACAGCTAAACAAGTAGGCAAGGCATGCTGCTGTCAGAGTGCAGCAAATGATGCAGGGCTGTGTTTTTACCAAAAACGAGGATTTTCCAAAATTTTAAGGAGTAGCTTTTGAAATGATGATTTGCAATTCATGTCCTTCGGGAGATTGACTTTTCTTCCCCTCTAACAACTGCATTCCTTGAGCTCGTCTGTTTGCCAGTCTAAAATGATGACCACAGGGACTGAGATTAAGGTAAAATCTTTTCATCACGCTGAAACATGGCACCGAAACTGTCTTGACCACTTTGGCAGAAAGCAAAAGGTACTGGATGGAAGGAAAAAACCAAAAAAAATTAAAAAGGGGGGGTTCAGTCATTTAAGTGGGTCTGTCAGCTTGTGTTACCTTCACGCATTTGTGAAACTGAGCTTTAATTGACTGGCTGCAGGGGGGAGCTGAAAGACAAAATTTTGGTCTCAAGATGAACAGACAGCTGAAAGCGTTGTGCTCCTCATTCATTAGGATGTGTCAGAGGGATTCAGATGGGAAGAGACACAGCAATGGCTGCTACTTTCTCCCAAGTCTCCCAGACTGTAAGGGAGTGTGCCACACTCAGCCACATCCAAGAGCAGTAACAAAATGCTCATCCATATTCCCTGTGACAAACGAGACTATCTTGATGCCTGCTAATTTTTATCACCGTGTCAATTATTTCATTGCATTTGTGATGGATACAGACAGAACTCCAAGCTCTGGCCAACCATTAGCCAGTCAGCTCCAGCTGCAGCAGGAGGAGCAGAAAGCCCAGCTGGGAGGTCTCACATCCCATCCCTACAGCCAGGCTGGGACACAAGGAGGGGTTCAGCTGCCCTGCACGGCTCCTCAGTCCCAAGGAACAGCCACGACCCACCGCTGGCTGAGCTGTGCTCCAAGCCCCGTTCTCTCTGGCACCAGAGACCAGGATTCCCAAGGCTGCTTTAGAGAGGATGGTGAGAAACACATCCCTGTCTAAAACAGGTTTCAGCTGTACAGCTTTATATCTGTATCCCCCAAAGATGAGCCAAGAGAGGAGTGAAGGGATTTGGTAAAACCATGGGTGAAGCTTCCTGGCTTCTACTTGAGGGTTCCAGTCTGTGCCTCAGAGTCCTTTCAGCATGTGGCTGATTTTCCTTCTTGTCCTCCTGTCCTTGTTCCCACCAGCAGGAGCTGCTTCTTTCCCTTTCCCTGGTTATTTGGGCACTCTGATTGTTTTGGAAAGGAAGATGCTGGTCATTCCTGGTCACCAGGGGTGTCGGGGACTGTGACATAGGAAGCCACCCAGCCCCAAAGAGGGAGAGTCTGGTTACTGGGGAAATGGTCACAATGGTGAAGGGTCAGTAGGGAAATCCAGAAGCTCCTGGACCTGTGTGAAGGCACCTCTGAGTCTGCACTCCTGGGAAGCCTGAGGGATGCTCACAGGTTGGATTCATGGGACGCAAACCGGATGGGATGTGGAGCCAGTGTAAATGAGGGGGATTCAGGATGGGACCCTACACAGGATGGGAACAGAGGCCAAGCACACATGAGTGGCATTTCCTGGGTGTAAATGAGCCTGAGCTGTGGGTGACGGGCGCGGCCATGGCCAGTGGTACCCCCAGGTCACCAACCCAAGACATCAGTCTTGTTGAGTGTGCTGGGAAACCTCACACTCAAGCACAGCAAAGGTGGTGGACAGAACTGGGGAACAAACCTTTTCTCTGCAGTTCATCATCAACAACAACAAACCAATGAAATATCCTATGAACATTTTCTGCTTTTCAACAGCAACACAAAACTAAGTAAAAATCTTAAATATACCTTGGAGCAAAAATCACGGTTTAATAGAAACCTTAGGATTTCAATTAGTATTTTTGGAACAAGTTTCCAGACATTTTTTTAAATTTTGCCAGTTCCTTTAGTAAAAATATTTTGCATTTCCAACTCTTCGCTTTTTCTCTGTCTTAAAGAGCAGAAAATGTGTTGAAAATGTTATTTCTTTGCAAACATTTTCATTTAGATCCAAAAGCAATCATTACTCTTATCCAGCAGTGGTGATGTATGTACGAGAAAATATATAGACCGTGAATTCTAAACACGAGAAGATGAATCCAAGTAGCTATTTTTTACATGTTTAGAAAGCTGTGAAGAGGTTTCTGTGCAGCTACCTTACCTTTTAATCTGTCTTCACATCTGCATTAGGAGAAAGGTGCTTTTTCAGAGACATACATGTGTACAGGCTGCGGTACAAGACTGGGGAGACCTTTTTGGAAACAGATTTCTTTTCCAAAGAGGTACTTTCAGTCATTCCAAAACCTTTCTTGAAAGTATTGATGAATCAGACTCCAATTCATGAAATCACTTCAGAGGGCAGGGAGGGCCAACACTACACACACAACTTCAGCACAAACTAATCATGTTCTGGGCTTGGTGAGTGTCTTATTGGCCACAGGAGAAGTTTGCCATTGAATTTGGCGAGTTTTCCCTTGGTCTGGGGTAATAGGCATTGGTTTCTTAATTTAGGGACAAAGACTCTCTCTTTTCTCATAGACTTGGTTCTGTGTTAGACTAATTATGAGAAAAAAGCAAAGACATGAAACAACAATCACCAATATCAGGACTCAGTCCTATAAACCCTTAGTCAAGTCAGCCATTCCATCTGCTTCCAGGAGAAGACACAGGCCAGGAAGGGTGCCTTTAATTTTCCCAGTTGCCACCCCATACCTGAAGGCCATGCACAAGGAGAAGCAGCCTCCCCAACGCCAGCCTGTGCCAATGGAAGCAAACCTCCTGCGGATGCATCAGCAACAACATTCGAATAAAATGTTTCCTTTACATCTCTTTGTTAATTCAACACAGTGCTTTCTTACCATTTTTGCAGACAGGACAACACTGTTCTGGTTCATAGACTGGGTTGACACACTCGGGAACTGCGCAGTCTGCTACAACACAGTGAACTTCATTGCTGGGCTCGCAGCGACACCATTCGCATGGCGAGGGCTAGGAACAAATCTCAGGTTAGCCCAGGGCCTCCCGCAGCTCACAAGTTTGCAACATTTCCATCTTGCCACAAGATAAACACATCAGCCTTCAATACCCCTTGACTCCATCATTCATCATGGGTAATACAAATCAACCTCCGGGACAAAAGAGCAACATCTGAAATAGGCACCACAACATCGGAAAAAACAGCGTATGAGCCTTGTTTTCCCAGAGGGGGGGTGGGGTTCTTTAGCCTTCATGAGTCTTTAGGTCCCTTTGCCAAAAAAACTGAGCTGAAGCCACTAAGTTGTACCTCTGCTCTCCCCATGTGTGTTATCTGACACATCTGGTGCCAGAAGAAGAGCAGGATTTTGGGAAGGTGAAGAGTGTTGTTTCATCCCAGGAAGGGAGGACAGGGTGATTTTCCAGGACATACTGCTCTGCCTTGTAGACCACCACTGCCAGCACACCCCAAGCTGTTGGAAAGGTGTTGCTGGGGTGGCCTGTCCATCTGGCAGCCTCTCAGCTTTCATTCCCACTTTTCAGGGCAGAGGAGAACAGTGTTGCTTTTGGAGGGGCAAAACCATTTTATTCTGTGTTTGTGCAGCACCTGCATCTGGAGTCTGTGAGCACTCCCAAAACATTACCATTAGTTCTGGTCCTGGCCCCTCTCCTGCTTGCTTCAACAAGGTCTGTGAGCAACAGACTCACACAAAATATGTAAATAATTAAGAGACTGAGTAATTCAGCTGAGTCAGGGAATTTTGGATTAAAGCACACAGCTAAATGGATTCGTTTCAGCTCCATGAATCCAAGCAGGAATCTCTATCCACCCCTGAATAGCACAGAGTTGTAACAGCCTCACCCTTTGAAAAGCTGCGAAAATCTGTTGAAAAACAGAAAGGTCAGTGGTTTAAGGTTCCCAGTGACTTATGTGTGTGGAAGTGTGATGAAAGGATGACAACAGAGCTAAGAAAGGAGAACAAGAGAAGAAATGAAAGGAAAATAACTTCCTTTCAGTACCAGTAGGTTCAATATGTATCTCCCATTTTTTCAGCAATGGTAGATCCATCACCTACACTTGAATGATTAAATGTGGGTATTGGAAAAAAATTCTGCTTTATGTTGCATTGATGGGAGTCTGCAGCAATGGGAATTCCCCAATATTAAAAAACAAACAAAAAAAAAATAAAAAGTGAGATGTAAAGAAAGAAGGATTAATCCTGATGTGTTGCAGATCACACTGATGGGTCACTCATTTCTACAAGACAGATGAGCCCTGGTTCTGGCAGGTAAAAAGCTTTTCAGTTCACCTCTAAGAAGCTCCATATGTCTTGAGTCTAATAATTTATTCCCAGGAAATTCATTTCTACCTTAAAACGCACTAATTAAAGCTTCCCTTGCTTTGTCTCAGCGTCTGCAGTCTGTAATTCCCATCACCTTTCATTTGCTCACGGCTTTGGCAATTTAGATAAAATCAGCACTCCTTGAGCAAGGGAAGAAGCATGTGGAGGTGGAATTCCTCTCTCTAATTATCATTCCTCATTCAATCCTGCTTTGATTTCCGTCTGAAGCATCAGGAATCTAAATTCATTTGACTGACATTTCTTATTCAAGGCTATTTAATAAGAAGAAACAATACAGCAGAAAATAGACAGAACTATTTGCTGGGGGATCAATAAGAAAATTGCTGCTTTGTTTTTACTCATTTTAATCGCTAATTATACGGAGCAGCAGAAGTAGATCTTGTGATTTGTGGAGCCTTTCACTGCCATATCCTCCAGGACTTGTAGCCATCCTCACTACTACGCTGGCTGCAATGCTAAGAAATATGGGATGGGTTTCCAGGACTGCAGCCCAATCCGTGGCTTAAAGATGATCAGCACAAGCAGAAGGTGCCCCTGAACAACTCTGCTCTGAGCAAACGAGACATGACACGCACATCTTTTGCTTCAGCGTTGTCAGTGTAACCTGACAGTGACACTGCAATAAACCATGATGTTCCCTGGCACGGAGAGCAGCTCTCCAAGAGGGGAGAACTGTGCACAATTAAAGCAGGAGAGCACATCCCAGCAGGAAAAAAGAATGAGCAGCCAGCAAAAGCAAAGGCTGCTTTGGCATCAGTCAGACTTTTCTCTGCCACCTCCTCTTCCCCACTGTATCAAAGTCAAGCTCCTTGGTCTTGCCACCAGGATCTTCCTCTGTGTGACCATTTTTCTCACTTGCCAGTGCCCCTTACCATGGCTCTTCCCCAGCCCCTCACATCCATGGGTGACTCCAGCCCTCCTGTCCACTTAGTTTATGAATGTCTTGGCACTTTCTCCCATGGAATGTGCTTTGGGATCCGATTTGCAAAACCCTGCCCTTTCAGAAAGGACTTTTCCCCCAAGCACACTGATTGAGCATCTCTAAACTGATGTCTGCAAGCTCTGCAGCCAAGCTATTGCTTTCCCTGGAGCTATCCTCCTTGGGGAACAGTTGGCCAAAAAAGTCCTCTCTCTATGGATACAGGCAGTAGGTAGACCCAGCAGCAAAATGACAAACGGGGAACCAGTGAAATACATCCCAAAACTTTGTTTCCTGATTCCTGACCCCATGGAAGAGGGGTGGTTTACACTTCTGTAGCCACTGAAGTTGAAACACCAGTTCCAGAAAAGAAACTCATCCCTACTGGAAAAGGAGGTTGAAAAAATACAGAGGGTTTCTGGAGTAGGAAAGAGAGAGGACACTGTCCCACACGGACAGTGCAAATGCTTTACTGCTGTCCCTTAAACTGATTATTCTGGACACATTGTTAAGATTAAAGGATCACAAAGGTGATCATTTATTTACTCCAGCTGCCCAAGGCAGAATAATCTCTTAGAAGACTTTTAGGAAGGATTTCAAGAGACACTGGTGAAGAAACATTCTCCTCACCACTGCCCAAAAGGAAAGGGCTCCGTCACACACACCAGGGTGGCCAGAGGAAGGAGTCAGCACTTGTTCTGTTGTGTGGCTGGAAAACCTTAAATCTCAGGTGCTGTCAAATGGGAAACATCTGGAATCAGCAGAGTTTGTTAACGAAGGAAGAAGGAAGGAAAATTAAACCAGAGAATAAAGAATACACATGGCTAATAAAGATTTTATGTGCATGAGCACATAATGACAAACTTGATAGATGGTATAAACAAACAAATGAAAAAGGCAGCAAAAGGAACAGAATGAAAAACAAGATACACCCTGAGCAGGGGAAATCGGGAAGCCAAACAGGATGTGGACACCACATCTCCTAATCTTCACTCCTGCACCCCTTCACACCAGTTCCCACCACTTTCATCCTCTCCTTGGAAGCAAATGCCAGGATACGTAGGAATTATGATTGCTAACAGCATCCAGCTGCTCCTCTCAGTGATACGGGTCTCCCTGTCTTACAGGGTTGGGCACCAAGTGGTTCTTTAGTCAGTTACCAGTTTCATAAACCCACAGAAATGTCACCCCTCTGAGATGTCTGTGAGGGCTCCAGCAAGCCCTCAGGTCCTCCAGAAAGACTGGTGAACAGACAGAGATCACATGATCAAACAATTCTTGAGGAAAACAGCCTAAAAACGTGACCATTCACAAACTTAAGGGAGAGGTGGAGAAAACAGAAATCTGAACTCAAAACTTAATGTTTAAATCTACTTGTTAATGCTTTTTTACAGCTGAAGAGATCTGGATCAGACATTTTTTTAGACCAAGGCAGTGGGTACAATCACACCAATAACCGACACACAAAACTTCGAGTTTTTAGTAAAGGTCTTGCAAGAAACTTCTGCAAGACTTAAACTTTACTCCACCTCAGTCATCTCAGTCATAGGAATTCTCTTGTCCCAAATACTTACTGAACCTCACCTGTATTTCTCCCTTGTCCAGAACTACACCACCCCAAGCCACCTCTCTGCTGCCCCAAACACACAAAAGCCTTTTCCATCACATGTACATTGCCCTGCAGAAGCTCCTCACTGAGTAGTAAGTGTTGCCCTAGAGTGGGCAGAGGAAGCATACATACATATATACATATATATGTGTGTGTGTGAAACATTATTGTGCATTCCTCCTCTTCCCTGCTTGCAATGAGGATTTCTCTGTCACACGTCTGCTTGTCAATCACTCTTAGCTGCTTCTACACAAATATCTCTAGAGAGGTGGGAAGGGAGTGATTTACCCAAGACAAACTAAAAACTCTGAAGGTGACATGTGACTGATACTTTTTCTTCACCTGTTTGTTCTGTCAATCAGAAGCAATCTTCCTTGACATCCCTTCTGGCTCCCCTGCCACACTCACCAGGATAACTGTGGTTTCCAAGTGCACTCACGTCAGTCCTGCACACGGGCTGTCACCCAGCCCACAAGAGATCTCAGACCAGGTTTCAAGGCTGCAGTCTCCTGTGATGAGCTGTGATTCTTCCAGCCGGCTTCACTCAGACTCAGGGTGTGAGGCTCATACCCCTCCAGGAGCTGGGAAAATGCTGCTCATTTTCCAACAGCCTTCCAAGACTGAAGTGTCATTTGGCACCTAAGTACTTCAAGAGCCAGTGGATCCAGTATCATTAACACAGACTGGACAGAGACCTTGCTCCTTGTGACTGCCCACTCTATGAATCTGGATGCCAGCTCCTCCAGACATGTTGAGCACAGCCACTTACTTCCCAATGCTCTGGACCTCCCCTCACTTTTCAAGAAAAGACTTTCAGCTGTGTGGTGTTTTCTTTGCACGTGGGTTTCCAGCCTTGTGGAAGAAGGCTTACATCTGTGCTGGAGCCAGCACCGAGGCTGCTCAAAGCTATGGCAAATTCTTGCAACGGCCCTCCAGTCATCTGTTCTGAGATCCAGTTCTTGGGATTTGCTGGGCTGCTCTCTTCCTCCTCCTTCCTACACTCTCCAGCTAAGCCTGAAGAGGGTTTTTGTACAAGAATGTCCCATAATCCCATCCTGGAAGACTTCATCTCATTGAGAAGGTGCCATGAAGTGATCACACAGGGACCGTGTCCTCGTGCTGT